CGAAAAACGAGAGACTCGACGCCCCAATCACCACAGAAGAGGTCTTTGCGGCTGCCCAAGCAGCCAAGAGAAATTCTGCCCCTGGTTCAGATCAAATCACAAATGCAATGATAAGGAACCTCAGCGATAAGGTTATAGAGGCACTGACAAACCATTTTAATGACAACTATTGGCTCAAAGGGAAGATACCCGAGGAATGGAAAGTAGCCAAAATTATTACGATACCGAAACCCGGGAAGAAGCCATCCCTGCAGGCACTCAGGCCCATATCTTTGACGTCATGCATGGGAAAGCTTTTCGAAAGGGTTATTTATAATCGGCTCCAAAACTTTCTAGAGAACAACGGCCTTTTTCCAGCCACTATGCTGGGTTTCCGCAATGGCCTCTCCACCCAAGACGCATTTCTCCTATTACAAGAGGAAGTTTTGAGCTATATACCTACAGGAGGAGAACATCTAATACTAGCCCTTGATTTAAAAGGAGCATTCGACAATATCTCGCATAAGGCCATCCTAACAGAATTAAACAACATGGGATGTGGGACAAACACCTACAATTACATCAAGGCATTTCTCACAGAAAGGCGGGCTTCGATAAGCGTAGCACAAGTCACGTCAGACGCTTTTGAGATGCCAAACAAAGGTACCCCTCAAGGAGCCATCCTCTCTCCCCTGCTCTTTAATATCGCCATGTTAGGACTCACGCGAGCTCTGGATGGAGTTCCGGAGTTAGGATACACTCTCTATGCAGATGATATCACCCTATGGGCAACGCGTGGTTCTCTAGCTAACAAAGAGCAGACACTTCAAGAGGCTGCAACAGCAGTTGAAAACTTTGCGAAGGCAAGCGGGCTCAGCTGTGCCCCAGAAAAATCTGAAATTATCAGGGTACATGGAAAAAGATACAAAAGTAACGGAAGCATTGACTTAAACATTGAAGGTGTCAAAATACGTGAGGTGACCGTCGCACGTATTCTGGGTTACTGGGTTCAAATAATGAACGAGCGAATCATACAATAAACATATTAAAATCAGCCACGAAACAAGTTGCACGAATGATCCATAGAATAACATATCACAAACAGGGCATGAAGGAAGGAGACACAATTAGATTAGTACAGACACTTGTACTGTGTAAGGTTACGTATAGTCTACCTTTCCACGTGTTAAACAAATCAGAAGAAGAAACCATCGAGTCTATAATTAGGGTTGCCTACAAAGTGGCCATAGGGCTACCGGTAAGCACACCAACCCAAAAGCTTTTGGACCTCGGTATATATAATACACACCATGAGCTAAAGACAGCGGTACTGACTGCGCAGAGAAATCGTCTAAGTCAAACGAAAGCGGGGAGAGAGATACTTTCTAGGGTGGGCTTTCCGCCATACCCCCAGAACATGGACGAGGTTCTTGTAGAAATCCCGGATCCCGTCCGCAGCAAGATCTCGATCTCACCGCTGCCCAAGAACATGGACGTAAAAACAAACAGAAAGCGCCGAGAGGAGAGAGTGCGATGGCTCCGAAAAACATTCAAAAAGAAATCAAATGTTTTGTATGTGGACGCTTCAAGGTACAATTTTAAACGGTCAGTTGCATCGGTACTTAGCAACGACAACTGCATGGTGACATGTGCATCACTGTACACGTCCTCGATCGCCAAGGCGGAATGCTTTGCCATTGCCCTCGCAATCAAAGCGCAGGAACAAAGACATGAACCGCAGACAACTACCATTTCCGACTCGCAGGAAGCGCGCCGTTTCTTTTTAAGAGGCCGCCTTCCGATAAAAATAAGCAAGTTCTTAGGCGGGAGCTTGACGAACAAATACAGACTGATCTGGTGTCCAGGACACGCAGGCCTGGAGGGGAACGAAAGTGCTGACGCTTGTGCTCGAGGGCTCACGAACCGAGCAGAGCTTCGACAGCACATTCAATCCTTTGAAACACTCCAGGAGGAAGCTATCGAGGAGGATAATGACCCATCCAGAATGGCCCCTCGCGAAATTCTTGCTAACCAGCGAGGCATGCGACAAAAATACAGCGCCCCCCACAAATCATTAGAAGGGGAGGACGCGATTGACCTCCGCCGAATTCAAACGGGAGTCTTTCCCAATCTTCAAAGGTTACACAAAATTTTTCCAACGCTGTATGGGTGTGCTTGTCTGTGGTGTGGCGGCTCGCCATCGCTCTACCACATTTCGTGGGGATGCCTTAAACGACCACCAAATTTAGATACCTTTTAGGTCAGTACAAGCTTTGTAATACTTTCGAGCAATGGGAGGCACAGCTCGCCAGCTCTGACCGAGAGGTGCAGCTTGCACTTCTGCGGCACGTCAGACAGACGGCGGCAGCCAGTGGAGCCCTGGACTTAGGGCCCCACCCGTCAAGCTCATGACCCCTGTCCCAAACCCTTGCAAATAAATTTTTTCCTTCCTTCCTTCCTGCATCCGAAAACATTTAGTGAAACAGGAGCCGACGTTCATACAACCGTACTAGTCGGCGCCCCCTACCGGAATCCCGCGGCTGCGTAGCGTTGCGAATTTTGGCAGGTGCGATCATCAACACCGCGTCTACGCATTGCGCTTCTCAGCTCAAAGTTGTCAAACCAGATGAGTGGCTCTTTAACAGATCCCATAGGTCGACTTGGTCGCTGGGCTCTGCGACTGGAATAATACACCTTTGTTGTGACATACAAACCTGGACGCCTGCATCAGGATGCCGATTGCCTTTCTCGCTATCCAGTTGGCAATATCAGCCGCCGTACCTGACAATGACGCCTGCGTGTGGTTTGTTTCCCAGCTGACCCACATAGCCAGCGATCGACGCCGTGATGCAGCCTTGTGGGCTATCCTCGAGCTCCTCTACTCCTCTTCATCGAACCGATCCTATCGCTCGTTCGCTACTCCAGAATGGTACATTATACCGGCATAACTTCCGTCCTGATGACCCATTCCTGCTGTCCCAAGCTAAATGTGGCATGCGACTTGCTTTGATGAATTGTCGTAGACGCTGTTCGCCTTGTTTCTTGCTGTAGTTGCCATCTGTAGTCTCCACGCAGGGAGCCAACGCTTGCTCGCGAGTTGACTTCTGCCAGCCTACTGACTACCACTCTGCGTTTTCTTCGAGATTATTATTGGAAACTTGTTCATCATTCACGGTGACTTCCATCTTGTTAAGAGGCGTTGCAAAAGCTCAGACCGGCGCGTGTTTGCTACCTAGCTGCTCAGCAGCGTTCGTGGCAGCTGCTGCGGCGGCAGCTGTGCATGTGTGCGTCTAAACTCTCGGTCCGCAGGCACCGATGTGTTTAGTATGAGCTGCGCAGTGAAAAAAAACTTCAGCTCCCACCTTTATTGCAGTGTGAGATGGCTCCTGATGACGAGCTAAATCTTGTGGCACCAAATACTTGAGGTTATCCGGTGATTTGCGATGCAAACTTATGCGTTGAATTCAGAGCTGACGCGAACACACATCCGCTCGCTTCGACAATCGCAGCGCCCTCCGGATAAGTGTATAAGTGTTGGTGTAACGAAAAAAAAATGGCAGCATATCCACGGAGTGAATGATGGAGAGTGGGGCGAAGTATCCGTCCGGTCCATTCGTTCTTGCTTCCATCCGTCCATGCGTCCGTCTGTGTGACCGTCCTTGTGTCCATCCGCCCGTCCATGCGTGCGTCTGTTCGTGCGTCCGCACGTCCATCTGCGCGTCCGTCCCTGCATTCGTCCACGCATCCGCCCCTGCATCCGTCCATGCGTCCATCCATCCGTGCAGCCATCTGTGCGTCCGTCCATGCATGTCTTTGTGTGTCCGTCTATTCAACACTCCAAGTCCCACCATCTCGCATCTTTTTATCATATATTCCCCATATAGAAGCACCGCCATCCAGCGGACATTCCAAGGAATAAACGAGAGGGTGCACACGCACTCTTTCTCACAGCTTGCGCTTCGTGTATACTTCCCACCTTTAACCACCTCGAGTTCATGGTATATAGTAGTTCACTGTATGCATGGCACTGCGGCCCAACGCTCGTTAAACCTTTCTAAAACCAAGAACGTTACGCCCAGTGAGTATAACGTAGCAACCCTTTCTTGTAAGATATTGCTCAATGTACATGCCAAGGGCTGCTAATGGAAAATGAGAGACAGGAGAATACGGCTTTTAGTTAAAGGGCACGCTGCGAACTTTTTATTGTTCAACAACGCACATGAGAAATCTCCCACCGGCTCCACCTTGCAGGTCAAATATAACACTAGTTACACACTACGACTATGACTACGACTACGAGGGACGAACGGGTGCCTTTTTAAGGAGCTTCGCCCCTAAAAGTTGACGCAAAACGAGAGAAAGAACGGAGACGAATGCGAGCTCGTCTTCGTCACTTGTTTGCATTAGCGTTGTTTGTTGTTCGTGTTAAGGTAAGCTTTGTTCGCGTGCTCTGGAATAGATCAAGGCACACGAACGATGGCGGGCGAATCTCTAGGGTCGAGGATTATGTGTCGACACCAGTGTTTTGCGCGTTTTCGTTGATTTTTATTGACGCAATAATTGTTCTTGATTTTTTAAAAAAAGCTGCTCATTTTATTCGTGTTGCATTGCGTAATTTTTTAGGTGACTGCTATCCTTATTTTAGGTGCATTTCTATTTCTTACCTACTAAAAATATGAGGCGGCGCTTAAAATGCCGCTTCCTTATTCCTGGGAAAATTGCCTTCACACATGTCCAGGTCAAAGAAAGGTGGCTACTTTGGAATAAATGGTGAGAACACACTCAATCTTGGGTAATGGGACGTAGGGCTCAGGGTAATGCAAATAACCAACATACATATTGCAATCTGTGAAATGCTCAACATGGTGCAATGCACGATATCATCCTTGTGTTGATATTCTGTATTCCGCATGCTACGCGAAATATTAGTTCATGGAGCAATGCGTTTCTAGCCGCTTTAAACAAGTGTGCTAATGGTTGGCTCAAAATTGTCACAATGTCCATATCTCTGCGGTGCGCAGGGTTTCCGATGGAGATCTTTGCCATATTGGACGGCGTGGTGCTTCCGTACATCCTTGATCCAAACTTCGAAAGGTACCTGCCCGTCATTCCCTCTGGAGTGAACTCGGTCAACTTCACCTGGAAGGCCGGTGAGAACAAGGTAGACCTTTGCGGGAACATTGTCCATAGTCTCACAGCTATATGACGCTTGCTCGTGGGCGATCAGATAGGAAGTGACTTCAACAAAGCAAGCACCGTCTGAAAGCCACATGCAACAACACCACACGCACATTCTGCGGACGTTGATTAATTGATTGATTTCTGGGGTTTAGCGTCCCAAAACCACCATATGATTATGAGAGACGCCGTAGTGGAGGGCTCCGGAAATTTTGACCACCTGGGGTTCTTTAGCGTGCACCGAAATCTGAGTACACGGGCCTACAACATTTCTGCCTCCATCGGAAATGCAGCCGCCACAGCCGGGATTTGATCCCGCGACCTGCGGGTCAGCAGCCGAGTACCTTAGCCACTAGACCACTATGGCGGGGGCGATTTTGCGGACGTGTATTTTGAATATGACATCGTGCGTCAGCCTGTGCCGTATCGCATTGCAATTACTTTGCTTACTCTAACATCGGTTAGATGCGGTACCCCGCTAACTCTAGGGAGGCCTTATAAGGGCCGACGTGACCAAATGCACGTTGCCGACTATTGCATGGAGTTAGCCGCACTACATTTTTCGTTTTGATTAGCTGCTTAATTAGGTATGCTAAATAATTAAGTTTTGAAGTGACAAAGTTCTACGCAAATGTCCAGCGAGAAACTTCTAGATCGGTTTCCAAAGGATCCGATTAGCCAGTCTCCAACTATCTTTTAAGTGTTAGTGCTTCTCGGCTTTTTGTTTCTCGGCTTTTTCTATATATGCACACGAAATACAAAAAACACATTTCTGTCATTAAATTAGCCCCCTCAGAAATGTATGCGTGTGCCAGTTCACAGTGTGCACGCCATTAGATGTAGCTCGTACAATAATTCTTGGAATGGCTCAACAAGTTGACAAATCGTTCAACACCCTTATCTCCGACAAATGGCGTGTCTACGTAAACTTTATCGCAGCAGTATGTATGTCATTGTTTAGCAGTTTGATTTCGTCGTGATGACTGCCGCACTGAGGAGGAATTGTTTTGTATGTGCTCAATAAATAAAATACAGCATGCGCCAAAAGTACCAGCCTCCATACACAATAAGTTGTTTTTTAGCATCTGCGTATAGACCAGAGAACGCATATCTTGCACCGAGGTTTCCCGGTGGCATACTCTCGCACGCGGCGCCATCTTGATTTGAACTCCCAAGGCGCTTATCTGTTGCGCAAAGTTAACATGACAAGTGGCTTTTTCCGGTGTTATTTAATACGAAAAATTGCTCATTTACGCCGTTCCCACTTCAAATACAGCATGCGCCAAAAGTACCAGCCTCCATACACAATAAGTTGTTTTTTAGCATCTGCGTATAGACCAGAGAACGCATATCTTGCACCGAGGTTTCCCGGTGGCATACTCTCGCACGCGGCGCCATCTTGATTTGAACTCCCAGGCGCTTATCTGTTGCGCAAAGTTAACATGACAAGCGGCTTTTTCCGGTGTTATTTAATACGAAAAATTGCTCATTTACGCCGTTCCCACTTCAAAGAAGTCGTCGGGGCACCACTGCGCCGTTTTTGGATGCGATAAGAATCAGCGCAAGAGAAAGCTATTACTCAGCACAGTCTGTGAAGATTACAATGCGACATGGTAATCACGCGGTTGCGGTGTGTTGAAATTGCACAGATACCACTCCGCTAATGAAACCACTGAGCTCCGCCCTCGCTAGATCAATTATTTTTATGTTTTATTTACAGATACTGCAGGCCTTCCTCGCGCCCATGCAGGAGTGAAATACAAGAATACAATCAAACAGTGTATACTTTTACAGTGAATATCTTGGCATAAATGAAGTATTATACAAGAATAAGTACACAACTCCAAAGTAATATCAATGATTAGCATATATATTGCATGACAGGCAATAAAACTGCACGAAAACATTTCCCATACAAACAAGTCACTTAAATCACACACAAATCAGTTATTTTCCGTATGCATCGCTTTTATTTTAAAAAATTAAACTTTCAATATGTTTTTAAATGAATCCATCGAGACAGCATTTACTGCCTCTGCAGATCCCGTATTCAGTAATAAAAAGCGCGAGAAAGAGAGCTATCTTGTGGACTTTATAGTGGCTATTTGGCTGCCAGAAAGTTTTCTCGTGATTTGTCCTTACTGAAAGTTTTGACGGTTGCTTGAGATAGAATTCCTGTGATAACTTGAAGTCCCCATAGTAAAGTTGGTAGATCAATTTTAATCTGGATACCATTCTGCGTTGCTCGGGTTTTGGTAGGCTTGCCTTAATACGTAGATTTGTTACACTAGACTGTCGGGAGTAAACGGTACAAATAAAAGGTAAAGCGAAATTTTAGACTTTTTCAATTTTTTGATCAAATGTTGGGGTCAAGGGCTCCAAATAATGTCGGCATACTCTATTCATGGTAGCACTAGTGCTTTGTGTGCTCTAAATTTCACCGTGGGAGTAGTATTACGTAGCTTTTTCTTCAAAATGGTCATCAAGAGGAAAACTACGGGCTCAGTAAATTGTGTACAAGTATACTTACTGCGTTTATGTAAACGCAACGCCAGATGTGTCACTCTACAGCCCTGAATTGTATGCAGTAGGCCTGTAGTACGCGGCTCCAAATCATTGCCCTACTCTTTTGCAGGTCACACGCTAATAAGATATATTACGACTGACGCATGCATGGACGCACTGCGTACGTTTACTACAATTGTAACGGCTTTCACGAAGACAAAAAAAATTGGCAGATCTCACGTACAGTGGGAATCGATGATAAACGAAGCACGAATGAGGAAGGTTGATATGTCACTTTAAAATCAGGACAACGTTACGTGGTGGAGGTAAATTATGCCGTACAAGACTTCCGTGTCATTATTATTATGTTTGGATGTGTCGTTTACCTTCGTCATCTATTCACGTTACGTGATGCCAAATTTAGTATATGCGAAGCTAGTGAAATGGCCGCGAGCACGCTATAAACGTAATATGTTGTCATGTTCTTGCATTACATGCGTGTCTTATCATGTTTGCACCAGTCATATACTTTCGTCATCCATTGACGTCACGTAACACCAAATATGGTATATGCGGAGCTAATGAAACGGCCGCGAGTGCAACATGAAGGGCCCAATATACTCTAACGTTACGTTGACGCGTGCGCACGCTGGGAACAGCGGCGCTATACGTTAGCAAAACGCGAGAACTCTAGATTCTCATGCCACGCGCGACCAGCGTCCATCTGCGCAGCCCGATGGCAACCGGCGTGGAATGCGACATGCTGCATTTCGCGCCTAAGCGTTACCCAGACAGATTTGCGTCTCCCTCTTTTCGTGACGGAGGGACACCGGACGCACTGAATTGCGCATGCGTCAAAGAAACGCAGCGCGGCGCGCGCCTGCGAGTATATGGCAGGACCGGCGCCTGGCACGGCCACACCGGCGTGACGCGACGAAACGAACGCCGACGCGCACGCGTGCCCTGTCACATCGAAGCGTATTGGCGCCTTTACTGTGGCATGTGGTGATTTTGTCACATGACACGCATCTCAATTTTATCATGTTTGCACCAGTCACATACCTTCGTCATCCATTGAGGCCACGTAATAAAATATTTGGCATATGTAAAGCTAGCAAAACGGCCGCGAGCGCATCATGAGTGTGGCATGTACTCATGTTGTTACATGATGCGCATGTCGTGGATATCACGTTTGGATGTGTCAGTTACCTATGCCGTTCGTTCGCGTCACGTAATACCGAATTCAGTACATGTGAAGCTAGCGAAACGGCCGCGAGCGCATCATGAGCTTAGCATGTAGTCATGTTGATACATGACACGCATCTCATGTTTATCATGTTTGCACCTATCTCATACCTTCGTCATTCATTCACGTCCCATAATACCAAATATGGTATAAGTGAAGCGAAACGGCCGCAAGCGCATCATGAGCGTGGCATGTAGTCATACTGTTACATGACACGTATCTCATAATTATCCTGCTTGCAGCAGTCACACACCTTCATCATCCATTCACGTAGCATAATACCAAAATTTGTACATATGACGCTAGAGAAATGGCCGCGAGCGCATCGTGAGCGTGGCATGCAGTCATGTTGCTACATGACACGCATGTCTTAATTTTCCTGTTAAGGACTGTCACTTGTGTTTGCCATGCAATCATGACATACCATACCAGTTTTGCAACATGTCATGTGAACGAAACCACCGCAAGAGCAGCAAGACCATGCAATGTAAATCATGACATTTATGACACACATGTCATAATTTTCATATTACGACTAGTTAGATAACTCGTCATGGAGTCATGTTATGCCATACCAAGTTTGGTATCTATACCATTTCCCAAATGGCTGGGAGAGCTTAAAGTCATAGGCGGCTAGATAGACAGACAGACAGACAGACAGACAGACAGAGAGACAGACAGACAGACAGACAGACAGACAGACAGACAGATAGATAGATAGATAGATAGATAGATAGATAGATAGATAGATAGATAGATAGATAGATAGATAGATAGATAGATAGATAGATAGATAGATAGATAGATAGATAGATAGATAGATAAAGCTCAAAGTCGCCGAAGTTCGCTAAGAAATGCTTCGGATTTGAAAAAATACGACGCCAGCTACCTGTACCAGTTGATTTTATTATCCACATCTTCTTTTTCTCAGACCTCGCCGAACAAACGCCCTTGCCCGAGCGCAGCACTGTAAAAAAAAAGGAAAAAAAATTACAGCTTTGGGGGTGGCGCTGCGATCGCCGAAAGGAGCGGACGTGCTTCATCGGCTTCGATTTCCTCAAATGATATCGCAGTGATTTTAACCGCGCTCATTAGGCGCTATATATTTCAATAATTCAATGTCAATTTCAGCCGCTATATATTTTGATGGGGCCTTGAAAGACTTTTTTAAGTAATCACGAAATGGATTCCCAAAAAGAGCTTATTGCCTCACGAACTCGGCCCCACAAAAA